GTCCTAGTTCGCCAGGTTACAGTCCAACAAGTCCAGCATATTCTCCTACAAGTCCCTCTTATTCTCCGACCTCACCGAGCTATAGCCCTACCTCTCCAAGTTACAGCCCTACCTCTCCAAGTTACAGTCCCACTTCACCGAGTTATAGTCCCACATCTCCTAGCTATAGTCCAACTTCACCTAGCTACAGCCCCACTTCACCCGTATATAGCCCCACTTCACCAGCATACAGCCCCACTTCACCGGCATATAGCCCCACTTCTCCATCATACAGCCCAACATCCCCATCATACAGCCCTACATCTCCTTCCTACAGCCCAACCTCACCCTCCTATAGCCCCACATCTCCATCATACAGCCCTACTTCACCAGCTTATAGCCCGACTTCTCCAGGGTACAGTCCAACCTCACCAAGTTATAGTCCCACATCACCAAGCTATAGTCCTACCTCTCCAAGTTACAATCCACAGTCAGCCAAGTACAGTCCATCTCTTGCGTACTCACCAAGCAGTCCAAGGTTGTCTCCGTCCAGTCCTTATAGTCCAACTTCACCAAATTACAGGTAATTTATGATAGACTAAATCTTTTTTTTTTTTGTTCCTGATGAGTCTTGGACGTGTCAATTTTGTTTTAGTCTATTCTCAATTCTCCTTGGATATAATGAATTTATATTCATTCTGTGTAATGCGCTTGTAACTTTTGTTTTTGAATTGCAGCCCAACATCACCATCATATTCACCGACTTCTCCTTCTTACTCCCCTTCAAGTCCAACATACAGTCCTAGCAGGTAACTTTTCATCTTTTGCTGTGTAATTGAATAGGTTAATTTTGGGAGTTGTTGTCAGTGAGATGCATCTTAAAGCTTCCACTTGTGATATTTTTATACTGAAGCAAGTGGTTATTGTGATTTCTAATATCAATTTTGTTCTAAATGCCTCGTGATAATCTGTTTTTTGTTTTACTTCTCCTAAACCAGCCCATATAATTCTGGAGTGAGTCCAGACTACAGCCCAAGTTCGCCACAGTATAGGTAAGCAGACTCTAGTGTTGAACTTAAAATTTGCTTTATTTTGTTGTTTATATGTCCAATGTTTTGTGCAGTCCAAGTGCTGGGTACTCCCCTAGTGCTCCGGGGTATTCACCATCATCAACTAGCCAGTACACCCCACAAACAAGCAACAAGGATGATCGGGCGACTAAGGATGATAGAAGCAGTAAAGATGACAGGAGTAAACGATAATGCATGACATTTTCAAAGAGCTTGAGAGGAAGCCAAGGTTGATTTGTTTTTAAACTCTAAAATTGTTGCAATTTTTGAAATTGCAGTGATATGACCCTTGCACTTCGCCGATTTCCATTAGGCTGCTCTTCCAATTTCCAAAGGTTTTTAAAAATTTTGGGATGGGTACCTGTAAACCTTACTTTTGATGAGCAATGTTGTATCACCACCAAACACAGTTTGTGTTCTTATGTAACATTTTTTTAGTGAAAAGATGCTTTTTCAATGTAATTTCTAAGTAATCTATTCATTCATAGGTTCTAGAATTCAGATGGTACAAGTGAATGATGATAGATGCATATCTGACTTGGTCTTAGTTTTGTTCAGTTAACAGTTCCAGTGAGGGTACCGGCCTGCTGGGTCGTCAACATTCTGCCTGCGGAATGAAGCAAAACGCTTGTATTCGGTGTCAGATTTTTCTGGGATAGCCCCTCTTTTTAGTATCTTTTTTTGTCAGAAATTTACTGTATGAACGGAGTAATCTCTTGATAGATTCTTATTGTCCATAAATTTTATCAGACTATGGTGTTGCCAATACAGATATAAATTATTTTCTGATTGTGAAACAATCAGAGTGTGGTGTATCCTTTAATTTTTAAAATAAAGATATTGGAAAGACGGAATTAGCTGTCTCGTTAACTGGTTACTTGTAGCAGTATTGAATGAATAATATTGTAATTATTTTATAAGCATTTTTTGACACTGTTATTTGCATGTCGATGCATGACTTTTCATCTAGTCGGTCGGCCGTCCGTGATGATGAGGATGATGACCAAGTAAGAAAATGTGTGAAATTCTGGCCGGCGAATGTGTGAAAGCTGTTTTACTATTTGTACAGCTCTGCCACTTTCCTATAACTTCAAGGCCCTGTATGTGTGCTTTCCACTTTGTATGACAAGGTCAATATCCCTGCTTGCGTCTGATATAGGATGGAGAAGCAGGTGAAACAGAGGAACAAGATCCTAGCCTTTCTTCCGAAAGCTGCATCAGCCGTGACTTTCCAGGTAAGCCCGCCAATCAGCCCTGCTGGTAAAGGGTATTTAGGTCCGATCGTGTCCTTGATTCCCAAGGAGGCTCGGAGAAAGTCCAAGAATGGGAGCTTTGATGAACCAACCTCACCGAAAGTTTCGTGCATGGGCCAGATCAAGTGCAGGAAAAAGAAGGAAACTGTGACGCCACCGCAAGCAGCGACGGAAGAAATGAAGAGGAAGCCTTTTTTGATGCTTAAAGTATTGAAAGGGACAAAGGGTGGTCATAGATTTGATGTTTCCAATACCGAGGCAGATCAGGTTGCTGAAAGAGTTCCTTCCTCCTTGCGCCAGATGAAGCAATTTTCAAGCGCACGTGGAACGTTATCAGATTTTGATTGGAGGGCATATGATGCAGCAGGGGCAGGGGAAGCAGGCTGCGTGAGCAATCCTTTGTACGAGGAAAAGGGAGTGAAAAGTGAGAAGGAAGCAAAGGTTGTTGTCAATGGAGTTGGGGTAGTTGAAGAAACAAGAAGAGAGAATCTGTGGACGAGAAGAAGCACGGCACCTCTAATTCCAATTCAGTTGTAACTCCATGATTGCTGAGCTAAGTTTGATTGTCATAATCAATTAATATTTTATGTAATCTTTTTCTTGTAATTCGAAAAGCCATTGTCAATGTATATACGAAATTGAATGATAATCAAAAACAAGATCTTGGTCTTTCCCCCTTAAAGCACCATCCCTGTCAGGAAGTCACCTCCCATAAATAAAGCACAATGCTCACGCAAGTTGGCAGAAGGATCTTGGGTTTCCAAATCGTGTCCTGAACTGGAAACAGGACTCAGAAGAAACCCTTCAGTTGAAGCTTTGATGCACGTGAAACCAAACCCTCACCGAGAAGTTTTTATGCGTGTGCGTGGCTGCTGAATCAAGAACAAACAGGACGAACCAAACCGTGAGCAATATCTAAGCAAGCATCACCTTCGCCACGAGCATCCCTTTGTTTAGTTTGAGTACTGGCGAAGATATTGAAAGGGACAAAGCTTAAGTGGAAAAAATCTGATGAGATTCTGGTGTCAAGGCCATCATCGATTAAGCAACTTGCCAGTGCTCTAAAAGCATGCTGCGCCATTATTATCAGATTATCATTGGAGGGCTCATTGGTGCAACACTCACTGGGACCGTGATGCTTGAGCATCCATTTGTTTGTGTTGTGAAGAAAAGAAGAGAAAGGTTGTTGGTGATGATGGAGGCACTTGTTGAACAAGTTAAATCTGTGGGAACCCATGAACCACCCTGGCCACCTGCAAGCGAAAGCTCTACATTTCACCATAATCTTGATTCCATACAATCCTTTTCTCCCCCATTTATTCCCCACCCAAAGGACATTTGTCTTGTTTAATTTTAAGATACATGGTACTGTACTTTTCTCCGAAACAGCTTTGATTGTCTGAGAATTTCACTTACAATAAAAGCCAAATCTTGAAAGTAACTTTTGTTCCAGGTCGTAATTACTACTCCTTTGAAGATTGCCATGAGTGAGTGGAAGATGCCGAGTAACAATGTGAGCAGACAGACACGATATTTTGGAAGACCATGGTGGGTATCTATCTTTATCGTTACACACTAGCTACGGTCCTATTCCTATAGCCCCCATACTTCTTTTCTTGCTTGGACAATGGTTATGGGGCCACCTTTTCCCTCTCTTTCTTGGCAAATCAAGAAGAAAGCGCTTTTGCTAGCTCGAAATTGTTCCTTTCTGTCTCGGCTAACCATTGAGAAAAGAGAGAAAAAAAAGAGAGAATAGAACAAGAAAGGGTAACCACCAATCACACCATGAATTTTGCTTTCAATTAATTTCATTGACGTGCCAAATTTTAAATAAAAACCACAGTGTTATTGCATTATTATTGAGTTTACAGACTAGAATATACTTGATTTAAAATAGAATGAGGAATCATTTTCACATCATCTGCTGAAATGATCATTTATTAAACATTTATTTCCCAATATTTGAGGCGACATCTTGGACTTTAATGGAGGATAAGATATCAATTTCCAAAACGGGACGTACATGACGTGTCCTTCCAAACTTTCCTCATCAGTGGAATTTCAATTACTAGTATTAATATAAAGTTGAAAACTTTGATAATTTCTTGGACAAATTTCATCTGGGGTTTATATGATTTTGACCTTTTCGACATAATGACTTCATAATTTCTTTCTAAAAGAATTAAATTTTTGTGGGTAAATCTTGTTAACAGTTTACTTTCTTTACTTTATGGTAAAGTATTGATACAATGATTTGATGAGGCAAAAGCAATCAGCTTTAGCTTAAACTTAGCTTAGCTGTCTGTAACCGCCGTCGCACCAGCATATTCTTGTTGCTCTCTCTTCCTCTCTGCCACGCACTTGCTTACATCCTCCTTATTGTCTTTTCTCCGTTCTCCTTATTGATAGAATGTATGGATGAAGCAAAGCAATCAGCTTTAGCTTAAACTTAGCTTAGTTGTTTGTAACCGCCGTCGCACGATTTCCTCCTCTACTGGGGCCAGCTTATTCATGTTCTTGTTCTTGTTGTTCTCTGTTCCTCTCTTTCTCTCTCACACTCACTCACTTACATCCTCCTTATTGTCTTTTCTCCCTTCTTCTGCTCCACCTTTCAAACTCTTAAAAACCCACGTCGCCCTTTTTTACTCCACTAAGCAACGAGGGGTTTCCGCTTTCCTTTGAAAACCCAAATCCGCCCACCGTTTTGATAGTTCCAAAACCAAGGAAAGCAGCGTCCTTTCTTGTCTTTTTCGTGATTTTTTTCTTGCAAATTTTTGTACAGTGAACTGCCTGTTACTGAAAAATGGAGGAAGGGTCGAAGCAGGTGATTTACCTTCACGGTGACTTGGATTTGACCATTATTGAAGCGAGGAGCTTGCCTAACATGGACTCATTGACGAACCAGCTTCGGGGTTGCCTGACCGTCTGTGAGGCTTGCAAAACCCCGTCGCAGGCAACCGCTGTAGGAGAAGGGGACACTAAAATCAGGCAGCACCGTAAAATCATCACCAGCGACCCTTATGTTACCGTTTCGGTCCCCCAAGCCACCGTGGCTCGAACAAGCGTCTTGAAAAACGCCCAGAACCCGAGGTGGGACCAGAGTTTCGTCATCCCCTTGGCGCATCCGGTGTGGGAGCTCGAAATTACCGTCAAAGACGATGACCTCTTTGGTGCCGAACTGATCGGAGTTGCCAAAATCCCCGCTCAAAAGATTGCCATGGGGGAGCCGATCAGCGGCTGGTTCCCGCTCATTGGCCCCTCGGGGAAGCCGCCTAAGCCGGACACGGCGATTAACATCTTTATGAAGTTTATACCGTGCGAGAAAAATCCGTTTTATAAGCAGAGCATCGCGAGCGATCCGGAGCAAGCCGGTGTGAGGCACACGTATTTCCCGTTAAGGAAAGGGGGCCAGGTGACCCTTTACCAAGATGCTCACGTCCCGGACGACGACATGTTGCCTAAAATAGAATTAGACGACGGTAAAGTTTATAATCAAGGACAGTGTTGGGAGGATATTTGCTATGCTATATCTGAAGCTCATCATATGGTTTACATTGTTGGTTGGTCCGTTTTCCATAAGATTAAGCTTGTTAGAGAGCGTACTCGGCCATTGCCACGAGGCGGGGACCTAACGCTCGGTGATTTGCTGAAGTATAAATCTGAAGAAGGGGTTAGGGTTCTGTTATTGGTTTGGGATGATAAAACTTCACATGATAAATTTGGTATCAGTACGGTAAGAAATTCCAGCAAAATTTTGTGTTGTTTTATTCTAGGATTCATTGAATTATGAGATTACAATGTGGGTGTCAATGGGTGCTGCAGGTGGGGGTGATGGAGACACACGATGAAGAAACGTTCAAGTTTTTTAAGCATTCATCTGTTACTTGTGTCCTGGCTCCACGCTATGCTAGCAGTAAGCTGGGTTATTTCAAACAACAGGCAAGTTTTTATTGTTGTCTGCAATAAGTTAACTTTTTTTTATATATATGTATATATCTTTGTCCATAAGTAGCTAACAAGTGTGTGTGTGTCATGAGAAGATCATGTTGATGTTCCACTCACTTGATCTAGTTAAATAAATTTGGATTCTATGATAACGAGTCACCTATCATTCTGTGCTAGTATTTACTGAATGCAGTGCACAAGGATGCTGTAGTGTGTTGTTTGCTTATTTGCTATATGTGAAAGTTAAAGCAGTGTAATAGTGTTCTTTGAAGTTTGATGACTTCTAATGGGATCCTAACATGTTCTTAATTTTTGCTGGTTAACACTTACCTAGCATATCTTCGTTTTTTAGCTAAACTACTTTTCTGAGGTTGCTTCTGCAATGGTTTTGATCAGGTTGTGGGAACCATGTTTACACATCATCAAAAATGCGTTCTTGTAGACACACAGGCAGCTGGCAATAATCGAAAGATAACTGCATTTGTTGGAGGTATCGATCTCTGTGATGGTCGCTATGATACACCTGAACATCGATTACTTCGTGATCTTGAGACTACTTTTAAGGATGATTTTCATAATCCCACTTTTGCTGTAAGTAATTGCCTGATTTTCTCTTAATGCCTTTGCTTGTGGTGTATGCTTTCCTCTGTTATGATGTTCTATCGTGTATGTTAATGGCAATTACTATCGTCATGCACCAGTTTTCAATAAAGCATCTCTCGCAGAATATGACACTGGGTAGAGGGATGCAGAGAAAAACTCAGACTGGCCCTGAGTTCTATTAGTTATGTTCTTGTTCACTACTAGGCAATGGGGGCCATGTTATCTTGTAATAGTTTCTTTTTACGGTTCCGTAAGAGTCATGATGACAACTGTAATTTCTTAACATTGTATCAGAGTGACTAAAATTTTGAAGCTCCCATTAAAAGTACCAACAAGTTGGGATCTATGTCTCAGATGTGACATGGGAAGAGTAGTCATAATGAGTGACTTGGTACCTATCATTTATAATAATCAGGGTCTTACACAGCATAAGTTGAGGAAGAGATTCATATAACTCCAGTTAGATTGGGATTAAGGCTTGTTTACTTGAGTTGTAATTTGAAACTTAGCACTGCTAGCATATAAGGCTGGCATTTTATTTAGTTATATATCAACTGTATCATCAAACATTCTAGTTCTGGTACAAGTACTTCTAATGTTAGCGCTTCTTTGTTTCCCCTTCTCTTGTATCCACTTTTCTATTTATTTTTTAGGTTGGAGCCCAGGCTCCAAGGCAACCATGGCATGATTTACACAGCAAAATCGAAGGGCCTGCTGCATATGATGTTCTTATCAACTTTGAGCAGCGGTGGAGGAAATCAACCAAGTGGAAAGAGTTCAGCCTACTTTTTAGAGGAAAATCTCGATGGCATGATGATGCTTTGATTAGGATAGAACGAATCTCATGGATAGAAAGTCCTCCCCTAACTGTTACAGAGGATGATACTACAATAGTTCCAAAAGATGATCCCAAAGTACATGTTCATAGTAAAGATGATAGAGAAAGCTGGGATGTTCAGGTTGTGTAATCTTTTAGTACTGATAAATACATGTTTGATTTTGTTCTTTCTTATTCTTTTTTGAAAAAGAAATGGTAAATGTTGGTTTGATTTTGTTTGCTTCCACAGATTTTCCGCTCCATTGACTCAGGATCAGTAAAAGGATTTCCAAAATATATCAAAAGAGCTCAGAATCAGGTTTTTATATGAAACGTTTTTTCTTCTGATTTTTAGATAGAAGAAACCTAATGTGTATTAGGTTGGCCGTGGTTCTAGATTTTCATCAGTACCAGATTTCTACTTGCAACTATTTTATATCAGTAGCATGTACATTATATCACAGCTCTTAGTTTTTAATGATTTTTTCTTTTCTTTTGCAGCATCTTTCCTACGCAAAAGGTCTGGCTATAGATAAAAGCATTCAAACAGCCTACATCCAAGCAATCCGATCTGCCCAGCATTACATATATATTGAAAATCAGTATTTTCTTGGATCTTCTTATGCGTGGCCATCGTACAAAAATGCAGGTCAGCAGTGTTATCGTTGGTTATTAAGGTTATATTTCTCCATATCTTAGATTGGTATTTTGGTTCCAAAACAATGTCCCTATATGAAGTATTTAGTGTACAAATTTGTATGCGATATGTTTCTGTAGTTATATCTTTTGGTAACAGTAAAGGAGTTGAAATGTATACTTTTATTATTTGTTTCTTTTATTTTCATATGTTATTTGCTTTTATGGTATAAGCAGGGGCTGATAATCTGATCCCAATGGAGCTGGCACTAAAGGTTGTTAGTAAAATTAGAGCAAGGGAAAGATTTGCGGTATATATTGTAATTCCTCTGTGGCCTGAGGGTGATCCAAAATCTGCTACTGTACAGGAAATTCTATATTGGCAGGTTGGTTTCTGTTTCTTGAACCATATTAGGTGGAAGCATCTTATGTCTATTCATTGATCAAAGCATGAAGCAACAGTGCAATTGTATGCGCAATATATACCTTCCTTTAATTTCTTGAAAAGGAAAAAAAAAAAAACATATGGTGTTTCGTTGGTTATCCATAAGTGGTTCTGAGGTTAGACTTGATATTTGATGTGGAACGTTCTACCAAATTTTGGAAGAATGCTTATGCTAGGCATACTTTAAAAAAATTGGGTTTTCTATTATTTGTGCTTATTTGGATTTATTTTATTATTTTAGTTTGTTTTAGGGTTTACTTTTTCAACATCATCTTTAATATGATCCATATAAGAAGGTGGAATTCTCTGTTTGTTCTTAGAGAATGAAAAGCTTTTCTACTTTATTCACCCATTTGTTGTTTCCAGTCTCAGACAATGCAAATGATGTATGATGTCGTTGCACAAGAACTCAAGTCCATGGAAATTAAGGACTCACATCCTCAAGATTACCTCAATTTCTATTGTCTTGGTAAGAGGGAAGAGGTCTCCATGGAAATGCTTGGTGGTAATGGTAATACGGTAATTGCCTGAGAGATATATCCCTTTTGTTCATTTTTGGGCTTATGATAATGTTAGGAACCTCTAGATTATATGGTTGGTTGCTAATTATTCTGATTGTAGATTAATTTGCAAGTTATCTTGCATCACTTTTATCCCAAAAATAAGTGGTCTACCTGTCTACCTACTGTCGATAATGTCTGTTTAAATCAGATCAGGACTGAGCCTAAACAAGTCTAGATTTCAAGATTTAAATTTTCAATTACCTGCCATGATTACTCTACTTTGTTGTTTTATTATGTTTTTGTGCTGGTAAGTTCTAGTTCTAAATTTTGATAAACGGTGGAGAGTGTCTTTGATTTTGAACCATAGCCGTATTGGTGATTCACAATGAATTGAGAAGTTCCCTATCTTTACATTAATATAAACACTTTGTTTTCCTTAGGTCCCTGACTCCACAAAATTTGGTCGGTTCATGATTTATGTGCATGCAAAGGGAATGATAATAGATGATGAGTATGTGATAGTGGGATCAGCTAATATTAACCAAAGATCCATGGCTGGTACAAAAGACACTGAGATAGCTATGGGTGCCTATCAACCACATTATACTTGGGCTGAGAAGAAAAAGCATCCACGTGGTCAGGTTTGTATACCTTTTTCTTTTTGTCTCTTTCAAGCAAACTGTTATTTTTAGACCAATCTTTTGGCTGTTGTTCAGTGATGGACTGATGGTAGGAAAATAGCATTGGATTAGCCTAAATGTTGTCCTTGGTTAGATTTGTCTTTGCGTTCTATGCTTTTCATTTTTCTCTAGGCTGGAAACTAGAAAGTGATCGTTTGTTAGTGTGGTATACTTGATGTCCAAAATTAATCAGAGTGACATTTAATGGAACAGTGAAAAACCTGTGTGAAAAATATGCTTCACATTTCTGTGCCCTTTTTACTACATGGAATAGTATTAAATTAGAAAGTGCATGTTAAATCACTCATTTTACATTTTAAAAATGACACATGAAGCAGAAATGCTGCCCCAAGACTGCAATGCGTCAAGCTCTTAATCAGAATTTGAATGTTTTCTTACGAACTTACGTGGTGCCTCTCTGCATTTGGCAGGTATATGGGTATAGAATGTCGCTATGGGCAGAGCATCTTGGTGAGCCGAATAAGTGCTTCAAGGAGCCAGAAAGTCTGGCATGTGTGAAGACAGTAAACGAAATTGCTCAAGAGAACTGGAAGAAATTCACAAATACTGACTACTCACGGTTGCAGGGCCACCTTCTGATGTATCCTGTACAAGTAGATGTTGATGGAAAAGTAAACCCTCTCCCCGGACAAGAAAATTTCCCAGATGTCGGTGGTAAAGTACTCGGAGCTCACTCGATCCAACTCCCAGATATTCTCACAACATAATCATATCAGCATAGCAACGGCTTCACGATTTCTGTTTATGTTTTCCATTCTTCGGTGATTTGCTTGTAAATCTGTTGGTTTGTGGTGCATATGTGAAAGCAGTGTGTATCCATTGTGTAGTTGGCTATGTTGTCCTGTTGTATCTGAAAGAGTGTAATGAAAGAAAAGATGGGTACCATATTAGGTTTTGCTTTGTCTTCCACCTTTGTAGTGTGTACTGCTTCCTTTGGTGATGCTATGAATATATTCATTTGCTGTTGGATTTTAGATCCAATTCTCTTTGACAAAGCTAAATATTGAATACATTATAAAAAATTTTAAATTTTAATATAAAATATTCAACAATTTAAGAACCTTATCTTAATTTTCGTGAAAATTAAAAATATATATATTTAAAAATGAATAAAGGAGTAATATTTGGGTGATTTAAAAACTTGGTGATGGGATTTTCCTTTAGTATTAATTAAAAGAAAAGGATTTTGAGATAATAAATTGTTTAAATTTTATGATAATTATTTTACTTCCCGTGACTTCCAAAATCCAAATACGAGAAATTTACCTATTTTTTAATATTTAAAAGCGTGGTGGCGCACTGAAGATCCATGTCAAGTCAACCGCATTGAATCTCTCCTCCAAGTATCATTATCCCAATAATTCATATTTTCACTTTGCTCATACCAAAAAAATCTCATTGGCGTACTTGCATCTGCGCGTAAAAACCCTAAATTTTCCCAAATTTCCAATCTCGCGTTCTAGGGTTCCTTTGCTCCTATGGTAAGCCCTCATATCTTCTCTCTTCTCTCATGTTTCATTTTCTCCTTTTGCTTTTTTTTATTTTAGTTGGTTAACAATTCCTTGATTTCAAATGCGTTTTTGGTTGTGGCACAGGCGGATTCTCCTCGTAAAAGGTAAGCTCCATTTCGTTAAGCATTTTTAATCGGGAAACCGTAGAAAAGTTGGGCTGATTTAGGGATTTGATGAGCATTCAAGATGGGGAATTATCATCCCAAAGGAATTTCGAATGTTGGATCAGTATCAATTTTGATCTTGCTGTATTATGTCTTTTTCTACATGTATATGTAAAAGGAATAGCTATTTTTAGATTTAAAAGATTGAGCTGGAGTAGGCTTTCGACTGTTGATTCTTGTGCTCTGTGGTTTCGGGAGGGATTTTAGAGAATCTTCGTAAAGAAATGGTGGGGGCGAGTGTGAAAATAATTATTATGAATTATTTGGAAGTAATTTGCTTGATCTCTTTTTTCGTATATTGTGGAATTTTGTTTCATATGGAGCTGGTTATCAAGTTGCTGTTGCATGAATCTCCATGTTCGTTTAATATATATGCTGTCTGTATTAGGAATTCTAAGTCCCCCTCCCCATGGAGAGAGCAGTCCAGGTCACGATCCAGATCTAGATCCAGGTCTAGATCTAGGTCGAGATCCCGCTCCTGGTCAAGGCCAAGGCATGGGTCCAGGTCACATAGTCGGGGCAGGTTTGTTATCCTCCTGCTCAATTTCAATATACAATAAGTTCTGTGGTAGTATAGCTTATCCTTTTTCCTTTGGTTGTTTCTGATTCAGGTCAAGGTCAAGAAGTCGTGGCAGGTTAGTTTTAATTGTGGTTATGCTTTCTTTGTTTAGCTGTGACCTGAACTGCAATCTTTATGCTGATACAATACTCTGTATTCTCCTACATTGATGTTGGAGTTTCAAATGCTCCATTATATTTTATTTTTTATATATTTTGGAGTGATGCGGCAGGGCTGATACTGGAAATCCTGGAAACACACTTTACGTGACTGGTCTATCTCAAAGGGTCTCAGAGAGGGACCTTGAAGAACACTTCTCAAAGGAGGGAAAGGTTGGTTTTTCTGTTATGGACTTAAAATTGTGGGATTTTTCCTTTCTTTCGTTATTTTATTGCTATTATCAAATTTTTATATGCTGCTAATGAGTTGATTTTGTTTTAAAGGTTGCATCATGTTTTCTTGTTGTGGAACCTCGTACTCGCATATCTCGTGGTTTTGCTTTTGTTACTATGGACTGTGTTGAGGATGCCAACCGTTGCATTAAGTATCTCAACCAATCAGTTTTAGAGGGTCGATACATAACTGTGGAGAGGGTAATCTATTTCTATCCTTTCTGCATAAAGTTAAACAGTTTTGTCTGGTTAATATTCTTCTTACCTTGGAGGTTTTCTGGCTATATTCAGAACATATTGCGTCAGCTATTTTGGCAGCAATCAAAGATGATGAGTTCATCCATCTCAACTTAAGTGAAACAAGCTTGATCAATGGCCAGCTAAAACAGCTTTTCAAATGCATGTGATCAACTAAATTAGCAACTATTTTGTCCAACAACTATACAACTTCAGCATTCACTTTCAACTCTCAACTAATCAACGGTCAATACAACAACTTTATAATCAGGATTTTATGGTATTTCAAATCTGGAATTCATTTAATAGGCAGTACTTGTGTCCAGATGTGTATCATGCTTTCCTTATTCCCTTGCTTTCAATGGCCAATTTTTTCACCTTCCAGGTGATCTTCCGAATGGAGCTTATTCCCATACAAAGTAACATGCTTGTTTTCTAATTTTATAATTTTGATAAATGATGTGTGATGCTGTAGACTCCTTCACTATTTTGATAATGCTACCTGATATTTACTGTACATGAATGTTAAGGTGTTTATCTACCTTTCAGTCACGTAGGAAACGGGCAAGAACTCCAACTCCGGGGCACTATCTTGGGCTGAAAAATACCAGGGACTATGGTGTGTTTCAAATCTTAAATAATTCTATTAGTTATGAAACTGGACTTCATGATTTTATAACTTCGTGACTTCTATTTCTTATGATGTTCTTGTATTGGGGAAAAGGTCGTGGTGACCGTGGCAGGTACCGCAGTGGTCGTAATGACTATGGATATCGTCGATCTCCAAGACGCTCGCCATATAGAGGTCGCGATTATTCTCCAAGATATTCTCCTCATGGTGGAAGATCAAGGAGGGAGCGTTCTTATTCACCTTATTCACGT